ATGTTGGTTTCTCTTAACTAGCTCTACCTAACTTACCATCTTCTCTGATAACCATAACGTCTGAAAAAGGTAATTTACTATTTTCTTCTGAATCAGTTGCCAATTTAATATTTCTTTCACTCAGGTTAAGTGAAAATGGGACATTATCGAAACTGTCCTTACGATGCAGCCAGATCACAAAATGATCATCCATATTTGTAACAAAAAAATTATTAATTATAATTGCTTTTTGTATTAAGCGTTTCTCAAACCGAGCCACGTAATTATTCGTCAAAAGGGCAGCCAAGCAAGAACGTTGGAAAGGTAAAATAGACTGTAATTATGAATAGGTTATGATGTCTTACAATGAAGCGCAAGTTCTTCATTAATCTATGAAAACACCTCCTGAACAATTAAATTATCTACCATTTCATATTGCGTCGGTAAACTTGTGAAAAGTGTTGATTTATCTTTCATGGCCACGTGAATATTCCATTTACTCAATACGAGTTAGTTCGCAGGAAGGTAGGCTTATCCGCTTTTGTGAATCCTTCATTGTCCTTACTGTTTTTTCATAGTCCCTGTTCTCCAGTCGGCTTTTGAAGGTCCGTAGGTTTCTTTTTATCAATTTGATTGGGTAGCCATTGCCGAGCAATACCCTCTTCAATTTGACCAGCTCCTCGTCCTAGAATTCTACATCCGTTAGGCTTAGTCTTTGGATAATCATGATCCTCATTATTCCAATCTTTAGCCTGTAATTGTGATGGTACCGGAAATTGAGTATTATCCTAACAGAGGACTTCTTTCTGAACAATTTCTATTTGAGCGTCCTATTAGAACGAATCATTTCAACGTTGAGGAACGGTAACCGCTCACCTTCCTCTACTTACATCGTGAATTGCATTTTTTCATCAATCTGGTTTAAAAACTTCATAAAATCCTTCTGTTTTGCTCTTCAATGTGACCAAAGTGTGAATCAATCATCCACGTACTGGATGAGCACTGCCGGTTGTAGCGGTGCCATCTCGATGTTCTCTTCTATTTTTTTCTTGCATACGTTTGCCAAGAGTGGTGAGAGCAGCAATCCCATGGGAAGTTAAGATATTTGTTCATTGATATTCCCGTTGAATGTAAAATAGGTTGTACTTATTGTCGATTTAATTTGTCGTGTTAACGACTCCCTCCTGATCCGTTGTGATTTCAGGATATCCTCCTCTCGGTCCACGATTTTCAGCAGAGCTGTTAGCGCATTTACTCTAGAGATATTTGTTCATGGATTCCACATCGAAACTTATCAATAAGTCCGTTTTTTCTAGTGCCATGTTTATGATTTTTCATAAAATTCATATGAAATTTTTATCGTTTTGGATAGTCTATCATTTAATTTCTTGATTTCCAAACATATAAACTTTGTCAATTTGTGTGTTGCTCCATACGTGTCGTTGACTATCAGCCTTAGTGGCTCGCCTTCTTTATGTATCTTTGGTAATCCACAAGCTGTTGGTGGTCGTGCATCCTTTCTTATTATTTAATTTCTTGTCCATGCGTCAATTTCCACATTCCTATGCATATCTTTCAGCATGACACTTAAGATTGCATTGATCTTCATAGTTGGGTCCTTGTTTAGCATACGATATGTGGTCCTGCCTCGTAGAATATATTCCATATTCTCGCTATATTGTTTTATGTCTATTATCACTGTCGCTCCTCATTTATCCACCTGAAGGACTAATTGTTCAATCATTTACAGGATTTTCGTATCACGGCAAATCGGATCCTGTTTGTAGGCTCCTGATGTGTCAAGGTCTTTGGAATTAGTTCCATCTCCAGTTACCGTTTCGTCTACTCAGAGAACTTCTCGGCGATATTGATAACCTCCACCAGGATGTCTCCTAGAAGGCTTCTGTGATGCTGAATTAAAAAATGGAATGCTTTTTCCAGGAACACGGTTGTTTCGGGATTCAGAGGAATTGATGATAAATTTAGTACTTTCTTCTTATCCTCGTACTGGTCAGTAGGTGTTGTCACCTCGGAAGCCACTTCAACTTGGGCCGTCTTATAATGCCAAACTTAACCAATTTATCGTCATGCAGTTTTGTAATTAAGTCAGAAATCCTACTTTATTTCCTGTCGGTCATGCTCTCGACTTTTTGAAAATGTTCCGGAGACAGGATTCTGGCCAAATCACGCCGGAGCTTTGACTTAATATCTCTAAATTTAAACAACTTATAACATTCATTATCATAGGACTCACTTAGATTCTGAATATAAGCCTGGTGGAGATACTCATTAACCTTTTTCGAGTGGTAGGGTCTCTGGAGGTCACAGAAATTAGGAGAGATACCATAACGTTTAAAACTAGCTTAAAAAAGTTAGACGGTAAAATAGACTTACACTTGTTTTCTTTGTCTGGCTGTATTCAGTGCATTCTTTGGCAATTCTACTACTGTAGCTAAATTGAAGATAGATAGGCCAGGACAGAAAGAGGATTGAGAGTGTAACCGTTTTCGGCAGAACGTTTGTCAAGGGATTGACTTCACTTGTCTCTTTGACAAGTTCGTAGATTGGTGAGGAGAATGGCAAATCCCATTGATGATGCTGACTACGATGCCGACGGAACCTTTGAGAATGTACCAAGTCCACTGTCTGATGCTGGAGATCCTGATAACTACTATGGCAGACGACTTCGGACTAGGTGCGTTCTACATAGTCCCCCTGACAACGAGACCAAGTTGCGACAACGAGGTCAACCCATTTATATTGAGCAACCTATATTGGAGGAAGCAATACTAGACCACAAGTTGTGTGTGTTGGATACATGAACGGCAAACATGGCAAAATGGTGAGCCTAGCTAAGATCCTTTTCTGCTCCCGTTTCGGCAACGTGAAGGGAACATTAACTTCCCAATGGAAATAGAAGAGAAGGGATTCTTGCTTTTTTAGATGTTCTGGCTATTAGAGAAGAGGGTAAGTGAGGAAGGTATGTTTATGGGCAGCCAACATATGTTGACCCGTTTTTCAATTCTACCCGCAACCTATTCCTGGAAGTTGGAAGACACCGATCATCAGAAGCATGAGATTGGCGGACATTAACCAATGACCATTAACTGAAGGATTCATTCTTTAAAAATAACTATCTTTTCGGCCTAATTGATAATAATATCTCCTAATTGAGGAATATGTTTTTTCACAGAAATTAATTAGTTAAAGGTAGACAAGATGAGACCTTTACTCACGTATCAATTTTGCTGACATGCCTACCTTCTAAAAAGTGGAGTATAGAAACATTGCTGAAGGTAACCTTCACACTTTCACTGATTATGGCATCTTTTAGAGAGAAATTTGGCCCATTATTGGGGTCCGCCGGCTACAAGATTGTGTGCTCCTGTGGTCGACTTTTTGTTGGTGAGTTGTCGGTCTATTCGACAAAGATTAGGCGAAATGGATGAACGATTAATTCCTCAAAAATAACTATCTTTTCAGCCTAATTGATAAGATTATCTCTTAACTAAGGAATATGTTTTTTCATGGAAATTAATTAGTTAAAGAGAGACAAGACGAGATCTTTACTCACGTCTCAATCTTGTCGACATGCCTTCTTTCTAAAAGTGGAGGATAGCAACAGTGCTGAAAGTAACCTTCACACTTTCGCTGATTATGGCATCTTTTAGAGAGATATTTGGCCCTTAATTGGGGTCTATTCGACAAAGATTAGGCTAAAGCTAAAATTACAATCCAATACGGCCTTGATGAGAACACCTTGTGGGAAATCGAGGCCATATAAAACTTGATAGAAACGTCATTTCTACTCATATTCAACTGTCAGTAGTCCTTAATCACCCTAAACTAAATAGAGTGAGCATAACTCAAAGATTAATTGAACTAAATAAAGGAAATGGGTGAATACATTTAATATAAATAATTTACTGGTAATCTCGAAATTCTACTTACATATGAAAAGTAGTTGAATGCAAAATACTCTTCTATCTAC